AACCACCAGCCTTCTGGTTAGCAGTCAAGTGCCTTAGGCACTATTCTACCTGAACTCCTATATATATTATACTATATATATATATCTATATATATAGATACATATATCCACTAATGGGTTGCAGACAGCAGTCTGAACACTTCATGACCATGAAAAATGCTTGTTTTAAAGACATAGCTTGAATTTGGACATTTTGTTTTAAGATATAAAAAGTTTTGTCATAATTGTATTTGTTAGGACCAGACTTTCTGACATGAATAGAGAAACCATTCGGAACAACTGGATTCTATGTAAACTTTTTTTTCCTATTTAAATGTTTTTATATAAAACGTTATAAATATAATTTTTTTAACAAAAATTTAAGGTATGCAAAGATCAAAATCCTTCAAAAGTTTTTCCTGTTTTAAATATACACACACACACATATGTATATACATATATACATATGTGTATGTGTGTGTGTGTGTATTATCTTTAGTTTTTGCCTTCCAAAAGACAACTTTAATTAGAAAAAGTGACTTAGCAGTTACTCATCTTGCTACTACCACTGCTGTCTTCATACATAAACAGTTACAGATTTTATACAGAAATTATTTTTTCACCATGGAAAATCTATACTAGAGGGTATTGGTCAGTTGTTACTACTTTTGGGAATAATTCTGTTAAATCTTCAATATCTCCTTTTAAGCCCCCAGTGGTGGCAAAATTCTTAGAATTCTGTATGAAGAAAATGATGAATCCGAGGTGGAAATTATTCATGTTACATCCCCTATGTTGGAAACAAGGAGGGCAGATTCATTCCGTTATCCTAAAACAGGTACAGTAATCCATTAGCATTCACATTCATTCACTTCTTTCCTAACAAAATTCTCTCTGCAATCATCCAAAGGTAGAGTCAATGTTTGTTCATTTATGGCCTTAATAAAGATTGCTTCATTGAATGTCACTGTAATTTGTGAATTGTAAGCTTACCCTTTTTCATTATTTTGAAAGGTGAAGATTTGCACATAATCAAGGAATGAATAAGAAGCAGCCTTTGTTAGCATATGAAGATTTTTAAGGGATGATGTTCTTAATAAATAAGTAATTTTTTTTTCCATCTTGCTGTTCATAGTGTTTCAGTTGTAAAAATCACACACAATTTCCCCTCTTTATTTCATACTGCTGACTCTTGGTGCTTTTGTCATCCCCCCCACACAGCCCTTTTTTTAATTTGTAATATACACACACCACCACATACATTTCTTCAATTTCTAGATGTATACTTCAGTCACATTGATTACGTTCTTCAACTTGTATATTCATTTTTACTCTTTTCCAAACAGTCCTACCACTGTTAACTACCTGCAATGAAATCTAAGCAAAAATCCTCTCTTTTCCCCTCCCTACCACTCCTGGTGGGAGCTCTGGTGCGTAGTGCTCAAGGCACTTGACTGCTAACCAGAAGGCTGGCAGTTCAAACCCACCAGCCACTCCTCAGAACACAGGTTGGGCAATCTACTTTCATAGTGTTACTGCCTTGGAAACTCAAGGAGGGGTCGCTGTGAGTCGAGTTTGACTCGATGGCACATAACAATAACAGCACCACTCCTGGTAACTACTAAATACTTTTAGTTTCCACATATTATTTCATATAAGTGATAATTATATACTGTTTGTCCTTTTGTGTCTGAACTTATTTTGCTCAGCATAATGCCCTCCATTCATGTAGTAGCATGAGGACTTCATTCTTTTTTATGGCTGAGTAATGTTCCATTTAATGTATGTATATATCATTATTTGCTTACCCATTAATCAGTTGATGAACATTTCAGTTATTTCCATTTTTTGACTATTTTGAATAGTGCTGCAGTGAATATTGGTAAACATATGTCTTGGTCTCCTTTTTTGATACCCATATTTATAAGAATGAATTTGTAGTAGTGATCTGAGAGGTCTTGCTCAATAAAGCTCTGACGTTACAATATTTGTGACTTAATAGTATAGAGGAATGATCTGGCAAAATTAATTTGAGTCATTTTTGAAGTGCATTACTATTCATTTATGTCTCTTTATAAAGGCACGCCAAATCCCAAAGTCACTTTTAAGATGTCAGAAGTAATGATTGATGCTGAAGGAAGGGTAAGTATAAAATATTGGGTTGACTTTTTATGTCATTTGACTAGTCAGTCTAATTGGGATCTTAGATACTCTTTTTTTTTTTTGACTCATTGAATTTGCTGAGACATCTGTGAATCATGATTTCAGGTTGACCTAATTGTCTGCTTTCTAACTTTCTTACTGGTTCCCATGATAGAAATATGGAGATATGCATATTTATCACTCCTTTCTGATAGTTCTTTCTTCTTTGCCTTTGTTAATTCTCCAGATCAATGTTATATCTGTATAGTGGTTATTGACTGGTGTCTTACCTTCTGTGTTGGGTAAATGTCTGTGGTGGATTAAATATCCCACATTTCTCTTGCACTGCTGCTTTCCATTTGGACAGTCAAATGTTTATAAGCAGCTTGCATACAAGGTTAGTTAAAAAGCAGTTTTCTACAGGCATATGAGGTAGATACACTGGGTAGATACGCTCCGTGGAGAGAACAATCATGGGAGAAAGAAGGGCTGTTTATGCACAGGGAGACAGCTCAGGGGGCAGGAGTGCATGGAAGGATGGAATAGGTAACTATTGGGAGGAAGTGGGAGGGGAGCTGTTGCATTGGGTAAATTGTAGTCAATGTCATGAGACAGTGTATGTGAGTTGTTGTATGAAAAGTGAATTTGCTCTATAAATTTTCACCCAAATCACAATTTAAAAAAAAAAAAAAAGTAGTTTTCTCTGCTAGAGTCTTACAGAAAAAAAGTTTGCTTGCCAAGGGCCATTTCATTAATACATTATACAAATATATTTTAAGCTAAGATATAGGGAATTAGACACTAATGTTTTTTAGATATTAGATTCTGAGGTGATGAAAATTTGATTTTACCAGTTATTATCAAGGGTTCTATTAGTATAAACTTATAGAAGAGACATTTAGACTATTCTAATTCTTGTGGGTAGACCTTTTAAGGGCATCCATATAGGTAACTCACAAGATATCTAAGTCTGAAAGTATCTGTTATAGGTAACAGTAAACTAGTGAGCTAGTTATTTCTCTGAGTAATCTATAACTAGATTCTTTCTTCTTTTTGAATAGATTATAGATGTCATAGATAAGGAACTAATTCAACCTTTCGAGATTCTGTTTGAAGGAGTTGAATATATTGCCAGAGCTGGATGGACTCCAGGGGGAAAATAGTGCGTATGTTAAATCGTCACTTCTTTACAACTGATTTAGGATCCAGACCTTTAGAAATGACTGTCCTATTAGATTTGCCTTACAATTGGAACTGCCTTCAAATGCAAATTTGCAGTATGTTATTTCTGTCCATAAGATTTTCCCTGAACTAAATAGATTTGTGGATTTGTAATCCTATAAGCATAAGATTTTAATTCTGTCTTTTGCTTAACCAGTCATGGTTTCATTGTTATTTGTGGTACGTGTTATGACTTTAAGCTTTATTCTTAAGTGTGTATATATATTTTATTGTATAATTTGAGCAGAAATATTTGCAGAGCCTTAAGTGAAAATGGTTATGTATGGTTCCTATGTCATGACACTGGCATTTAATGACTGGCATTTATCAATTACAAAGGAAGAAAATAATTTTAAAGGCCATGCGTGGTTTTGGAAATTTAAAGAAAACCACTTTCTAAACACTTTTTCAAACAACTTTTAAAAATAAGTGTATTTTTAATTAGGCTATTTGTAAGTGATAATTTAACATATACTAAAGCTGTTCTTTCATTATGATTAAAGAAGTAGTGGGTGTTAATAGAAAGAGTAGAAGGGTATCATTCGTTTTCTGAGATTTTGCTTTATTTCTGGTGCTTCTCTTTTATTTGTTTAAATAGTGCTTGGTCCATCCTACTAGATCGCTCCCAAACTCGCCTACAGATAGTGTTGATACCGCCTGAATTATTTATCCCAGTAGAAGATGATGCTATGGAAAGACAGAGACTCATTGAGTCTGTGCCTGACTCTGTGACACCACTGATTATTTATGAAGAAACAACAGACATCTGGATAAATGTACTTATTTCTTTCCCCTGTACTTGATTAAATATTTTCTCAGAATATTAAGGCCAATTAAGTTTCATAGCAAAGTAGCAAAATGAATCTTATTTGTTTGTTTTTCATATTCAGAGGAACAATGAATATTATTTCCTTACTTTGAACATTTCAAGTCAGAATGATAGTGCCCTGGTGGAATGCTTTATAAATACAAGGTAGATTCTGGCTGCAGGTTTGTCGTTGTTCCTGGACATATCAGATACTGAATACACAGCCCCATCATCAGTGTTTCTGAGAGAACTGCAGGAGTCTTGTCTAGAAAAACTTAACGCTTTTAAATTTGCAAACTACATACCAAAATATACTAGTTTTGGATTGAATTTTACATTTGCCAATTTCCTAGAAAAAACTCAGTTACAGAATAAAGCCAGCTCACTCACTGGCTTAGTGTGATCACCCAAAATAGATGATCATTCCATCTTCACTGTGTGGTTCCAATTTTAATATATGTGCTGCTGAAGCAAGCAAAAAAAAAAAAAAAACTTTTTTACAGAAACTTTGTCTTTGGAAAAGAAAATTTAAGAGAATTTTTTCTCATCATTTCTGTAATAGATTTATATTGTTAAGTAAACCTTGTACCATGTTTCAAAGGATTACATAGATGATGAGTAATGAAAAGCTTTTGGTTATAGTTTTCTTTTTTCTCCATTTGGAAACATTTATTTTTCAATGATGAAATCTTTGGCTAAAATAAGATAAATCTGAAAGGCCCAGGCAAAATCTGTAATTGTAAACATACCATGCACTCTAGCGCTGATAGTGATTTATATTTCTAAGTATGTTTATGCAGTAATTATTCTTGCTTAGCTTAATTGAATTTTTTATGTAGTATTTTCATTATTGTGGTATTAAATTTAGCTATTTGTTTTACAGATTCATGATATCTTCCATGTTTTTCCCCAAAGTCATGAAGATGAAATTGAGTTTATTTTTGCCTCTGAATGCAAAACAGGTTTCCGTCATTTATATAAAATCACATCCATTTTAAAGGAAAGCAAATACAAACGATCCAGTGGAGGGCTGCCTGCCCCAAGTAAGAAATTCTTTCCTATTTAAAAAGAAAAAGTGTTGGGGGGGACAGGGGGATGTAATGTCTCTTTTATATACTTCATAAGCAGGAGGACTTGCTTCATTAAACTTACATACATAGATTGAACTGAAATAAGAATATATGCATGTGTAAAAACATAGGAAAAAGGATATCTTGACAGATATCCAATGAACTATTAATAATGAATAATCTTTGAGTAGTGAGATTGTTAATTTTACATTCTACTTTTGCCTTGACTGTAAATTTTGTTTAAAGTGAACTCATATTTAAAAAACTGTTTTCAAAATATTATATAATTTAAAAATATTTATATACTAGATGTTTTTAAAATACTATCTGTATCTGCATTGAAGTTAATTTATGGTTATAGCTCTTCAGATTGATATAAATATGTTGCCCAAGGTGAAATTAAATACTGTGTCAGCTGAATTTCTCTTTAAAAAAGCAGTGGGGTTTTTGTTTTTCTTTTGTGTTTAATTTCGCTTTTTTAAAAAAATATGGACCACTTTACATGTCATCCTTGCACAGGCCATACTAATCTTCACTGTATGGTTCCAATTTTAATATATGGGCTGCTGAAGCAAGCAAAAAAAAAAAAAAAAAAGGATTTTTAAAGAATGCATACATAAGCCTCGAAAAAGTGAAATGATACAAGTACTTCTTTGGGGTTTTTTAAAAAGTTGGGTTGTAGTTTTCTACCTTAATAGTTCAGTTTGTTTTGGAATAGTAGACACTTTATGGTAAGTTATATTAGAGGCTTAACTGCCATTTATAACCTAGCAGACTCAGCATGACCTTTTAAATACCATTCTTACTTGGGAAATGGTGAGCTACATCTTTTAAAAAAAAATAAAACTCACTGCCATCAAGTCGATTCCGACTCATAGTGGCCTCATTGGGTTTCCAGGGCTGTAAATCTTTGCAGAAATAGATTGCCCCATCTTCCTACCACGGAGCAGCTGGTGGGTTTGAACTGCTGATCTTCTAGTTAGCATCCTGATATCTTACCCACTATGCCACCAGAGTTTCTAGAGCTACATCTTAGAACTAGTATAATAATATTTATTTATGATTCTGCTGCTTTCTCTTAGCCTCATTATATAAGACAAGATCTTATATATCCAAGATGGGGAATTTTTTCCTTTACATCCTTAGTTTTCCTTGATCTTTAGTATGAAATTGCCCTTACCAATCTGTTATTCAGAAATTAAAGCCAATGAAGGAATTCCATAAATGTTAGTGATTAAAACTGATCATAGAACTATGAGTAGTAGTTAATTAATTGAAGCAACATTTTAGGGACAGTAATTTAAAAATGATAACTTAAAATTTTATTCCAGTTGAAGGGTATAAGAAGAGCTTACCTCAGTTAACATCTCGGAAAGCCAGTCCTCCATTCCTGTCAGTGTTGATCTCTGGACCACTCACTCAGTCTTTCTACCTCTTCTTTCTTTCTCCTTCCTTCTTTCTTAATCTTTTTTTACTCAAAACCTTTCCTTTTTCCCTTGATAGCTACTTCATTTTCCTCCTTCCCTTTTCTCCTTGAATATAATGTGAAACTATTAGTATTTGTTATGTATATATGTGAAGTAATATTTTCTGATCATAAAGTTAAAGTACTAAGTTGAATTTTTTTTATCTAAGAAAAACTAAACTAAGTATAGGCCCCTGGTTAAAACCTTGTACTCTCTCTCCACCTCAGCCTGTCTTCAGCCTCCCACAGCTGTAGGTATCAGCAACTAGGAAAAGAGATCATTTTCATTTTCTGACCTTCTCCTTAGGCCACTGATAAAGCCTCATCTACCAAGATAGAATCTCAAAAAAGACAAATGGGGTGTATTGATATTTACTATGGTAAAAACTTAGCTGGTGCATTATTTGGAATATGAAGCACAATTGTATTAAACTTTTTCTTCTGTGGTTTTTGAAGTAGTTTATTGGATACCTGGAAGAAATTCCTGTCAACACATTAGATTTCTTTGTTTGGTTAACCAGAGGTCTAGGGATACAGGTGTTCTTTCTTGGCTTTACTGTAAGGATCTACTTTGCTGTTTTTGCATTAACTACATGGATCATTCAATTTATTATTCTGTAATATTGTGAAGACTCCTAACTTGGACTGTTTTTTAAACTGTAAATTTTGTTTTCAATTGAGATGAAATTCATGTAACATAAAACGAACCTTTTTTTTTTTTTTTTTAATTTTATTGTGATTTGGGTGAAAGTTTACAGAGCAAATTCATCTTCCATACAGCAGTTCACATATACTTTGTCTCATGACATTGACTGTAATCTCCCACAGTGCAACAACAGCTCTCTTCCCACTTCCTCCCCATACCCACCTTTTCCCTGTGTCCTTCCCTCCCATGCACTCCTGCCCCTGGAACTGTCTCCCTGTGCATAGACAGCCCTTCTGTTCTCCTATGATGGAGTGTACCTACCTAACGTAAATGTTCAGCTCATATGCCTGTCTTTTTTTTCTTTTAATTTTTATTGTGATTTGGGTGAAAGTTCACAGAGCAAATTCATTTTCCATACAGCAGCTCACATACACTAATGACATTGACTGCAATTTCCCACAATGCAACAGCTCCCCTCCCACTTTCTCCCTATAGTTACCTCTTGCCTGTGTCCTTCTTTCCTATGCATTCCTGCCCCCCAACCTGTCTCCCTGTACAAACACAGCCCTTCTGTTCTCCCATGATTGATCTATCTAAGGATTATATCTGCCTGATGTAAATGTTCAGCTCGTATGCCTGTCTTTTTGTTTGGCTGAAATTCACAGGAGTGGGTTCAGTTCCAGACTTGAAGGGCAGCTAGGGGCGGGGCAGTAGTCTCAGGGGTTCCACCAGGCTCTATCAGACCAGCAAATCTAGTCCCTTTTTTTTTTTTTTTTAAATTCTGAGTTTTGTTCCACATTATTCTCCCACTTTATCTAGGATCTCCTACATAGATCCCCCTCTGAATGGAAAATGAACCATTTTTAAGTGAATAATTCAGTGGCATTTTAGAGCATTTACAGTGTTGTGTAATCATCACCTCTTTCTTTCCAGAATGTTTTCATCAATCCAAATATAACTTGAGTTTTTTAATGCAACTTTTTTGGGGGTGGGGGTGGAAAGAGGATAAGAAACTCTTTTTCATTGTTTCATTTGCTTATAGTCTGGTATAAAGTACTGAATTATAACTGTATTTACCTTTAGGTGATTTCAAGTGCCCTGTCAAAGAGGAAATAGCAATTACCAGTGGAGAATGGGAAGTTCTTGGCCGGCATGGATCTAATGTATGTTGTTTTATTCACTGATATGTTTGGTCAATATCTGTTAAGTGTGTACAGTGTGCAGCTTAATATCCCAGTATTTTGAAAATATCTGTTAGGGACTAAAAGAACTCAAGTACTTGGAAAGAAAGAATCTTAGTTTAAATTATAAATCTCACTTCTTATTCCCCTGATACTGATGTGTTCTGGTTACTTATGGTCACTGTTTTCAAATATATTGTTGCTACTTAATAAGGAAAGGACTGTTCACCCTTTTAGAGTCTGCCATAAGTTGTAAGTTAGGCTATAGCTTCTGCATTAGGACTTGAATGTACTTGTATTTATCTTACCTCACAAATGTTAAACTTTGAGCCAGAAGCTACAAAGAGCTTAGACTGATAAGGAGGAGAAGGAAAATCCACCCATTTCATTCTCAACATATGTCTTTCTAAAGCAATTCAATGAATTCTAATTATTTTTCTTACGCCTTTATGCTAACCAGAAGGCTGGTGGTTCAAACCCACCAGCCACTCCTCGGAAGGAAGGTGAGGCAATCTACTTCCGTAGTGATACCTTGGAAAGCAAGGAGGAGTCACTATGAGTCGGGTCCGGATCTGACTCAATGGCACATAACAACAATAACATGCTTTTCTTAGTACCTACATTTACATTCCATTGCGTATCTGTCAGTTTGGTGTACTTTGGTGACTTGTGTGTTGCTGTGAGGCTGAAGGCTTTGCCACAGGTGTTTCAAATACCAGCAGGGACACCCATGGTGGACAAGTTTCAGCAGAGCTCCAGACTAAGACAAACTCAGAAGAAAAAAGGGACCATCTACTTCTCAAAGAAATGGCCAATGAAAATCTTACGAATAGCAGTTAAACACTCACTGTCTGATACATTATTAGAAAACTTTATGAATAGCCTTGAAACATTGTCTGTATAGTGCCGGAAGATAAGCCACTCAGGTCCAAAGGCACTATACAACTGGGGGAAAGCTGCCTCCTCAAAGTAGAGTTGACATTAATGACATGGATGGAGTAAAACTTTCGGGACCTCCATTTGGTGATGTGGCATGACTCAAAATGGGAAGAAATAGCTGCATACATAAATTAATAATCGGAATGTGGAAAGTACAAAGTATGAATCCAGGAACATTGGAAGTTGTCAAAAATGAAATGGGACACATAAAGATCAATATTCTAAGATTGGGCAATCTACTTCCGTAGTGATACCACCTTGGAAACCCAAGAGGGGCTCACTATGAGTCGGATGTAACTTGAATGCAGTGCGTTTGAGGCATTGGTGAGCTGAAATGGATGAGTTTTGGACATTTTGAATCAATTATATGATATATTATGCCAGGAATGACAAATTGAAGAGGAATAGTGTGACATTCATTGTCACAGACAATGTTTCAAGATCTATCCTGAAGTATGATGCTGTCAATGATAAGATAATATCCATATGCCTACAAAGAAGACCAGTTAATACTACTACTATTCAGATTTACACACCAACTACCAAAGACAAGGAAGTTGAAGATTTTTACCAACTTTTTCAGTCTGAAATCGACCAAACATGTAGTCAAGATATATTGATTATTACTGGTGATAGGAATGTGAAAATTGGAAACAAAAAAGAGTCACTGGTAGTGGGAGAATACGGCCTTGGTGATAGAAATAACACTGGAGATCACATGATAGGATTTTGCAAGACCAACAACTTTTTCATTGCAAATACCTTTTTACAACAACATAAATGGAGACTATACATGTAGCCCTCACCAGATGGAATACACAGGAATCAGATTGACTACATCTGTGGAAAGAGAAGATGGAGAAGCTCAATATCTTCACCCAAAACAAGGCCAGGAGCTGACTGTAGAAGAGACTGTCAACTGCTCATATGCAAGTTCAATTTAAAGCTGAAGACAATTAAAACCAGTCCACAAGAGCCAAAATATGACCTTGATTATATCCCACCTGAAATTAGACACCACCTGAAGAATAGATTTGATGCACTGGATACCAGTGACCAAAAACCAGACAAATTGTGGGATGACATCAAGAACATCATGCAAGAAGAAAGCAAAAGGTCATTAAAAAGACAGGAAAGGAAGAAAAGACTAAAACGGATGTCTGAGGAGACTGCAACTTGCTCTTAAATGGAGAATAGCTAAAGCAAATGGAAGAAATGACAAGGTAAAAGATCTGAACAGAGGATTTCAAAGAGCAGCTCAAGCAAGACATAGGCAGTTATTATAATAAAATGTGCAAAGACCTGGAGTTAGAAAACCAAAAGGGAAGAACACACTCTGCATTTCTCAAGCTGAAAGAACTGAAGGAAAATTCAATCCTCAAGTTGCAATATGGAAAGATTGTATGGGCAAAATATTGAATGATGAAGGAAACATCAAAAGAAGATGCAAGAAATACAGAGTCACTGCACCAAAAAGAATTGGTTGATGTTCATGTATTTCAGGAGGTGACATATGATCAAGAATGAATGGTATTGAAGAAGTCAAAGCTGCACTGAAGGAATTGATGGAATACGCATTGAGATGTTTCAGCAAACAGATGACATGCTGGAGGCTTATCTATGCCAAGAAATTTGGAAGACAGCTACCAGGCCAGCTGGCTGGAAGAGATCCATATTTCAACCTATTTCAAAGAAAGATGATCCCACAGAATGTGGACATTATCAAACAATGTCATTAATATCACATGCAAGTAAAATCTTTCTGAAGATAATTTAAAAATGATTGCAGCAGTATATTGACAGAGAACTTCCAGAAATGCAAGCTGGATTCTGAAGAATGTGGCACAGGGGATTGCTGATGTCAGATGGATCTTGGCTGAAAGTAAAGAATACCAGAAAAATGTTTACTTGTGTTTTATTGGCTATGCAAAAGCATTCAACTTTGTGGATCATAACAAATTATGGGTAACATTGAGAAGAATGAGAATCCCAGAACACTTAATTGTGCTCATGACGAACCTGTCCATAGACCAGGAGACTGTCATTCGAACAGAACAAGGGGATAATGAATGGTTTAAAATCAGAAAGGGAGTGTTTCAGGGTTGTATCCTTTCACCATACTTATTCAACCTGTATGCTGAGCAAATAATCCGAATAGCTGGACTATGTGAAGAAGAACATAGCATCAGGATTGGAGAAAGACTAACAACCTTCACTACGCAGGCAACACAACATTGCTCACTGAAAGTGAAGTTGACTTGAAATACTTACTGATGCAAGATTAAAGACTATAGTCTGAGGTATGAATTACCTCTCAATATAAAGAAAACGAAAATTCTCAAAACTGGACCAATAAGTAGCATCATGATAAATAGAGAAAAGATTGAAGTTGTCAAAGATTTCATATTACTTGGTTTCACAATCAACACCAGTGGAAGCAGCAGTCAAGAAATCAGATGATGTATTGCACTGCGCAAATCTGCAAAAGACATCTTTAAAGTGTTGAAGAGCAAAGATGAAGACTAAAGGGTGCCTAACCTGAGCCATGGTATTTTCAGTCACTTATATTGCATGTTAAAGGTGAACAGTGAATAAGGAAGACCGAAGAAGTGTTCATGCTTTTGAGTTGTGGTGCTGGCGGAGAATACTGAATGTGCCATGGACTGCCAGCAGGACAAACAAATCTGTCCTGGAAGAAGTGCAGTCGGAATGTTCCTTGGAAGCAAGAATGGCCAGACTTCATCTGACGTAGTTTGGTCATTTTGTCAGAAGAGACCATTCCCTGGAGAAGGATATCATGATTGGTAAAGTGGAGGTTCAGCAAAAAAGGGGAAGGCCCTCAATGAGATGGATTGATGTAGTGGCTGCAACAGTGAGCTCAGATATAGCAAGGATTGTGAGGCTGGCACAGGACCAGGCAGTGTTTTGGTCGGTTGTGCATAGGGTCACTGTGAGTCAGAGCCGACTCCACAGCACCTAACAACAACACATTTACTTCACCTTTCAGTTAGGTCATCAGTTTTATGACATCTCTTAAGAATCCATCCTTTGTAGGTATGACACATGTAGTATGATGACATACGCTGCCAGGGTTAGTGAAGGCCTGAATGTATTTCCTCAGATTGACATGGAGATTCACTGAAAGATATGTATCCTGGCTACTGTGGTGGTCATTTGTAGTCCCCAGGGTGATTACAAGAAAGAATGAAAATCTAGGTGCCAGGTTGGTTTTTGTGGGTAAAAGCTTCAGAATATCACAGGTGACCTTTAAAGTCTAATTTCTACTGAGAGTTTCACATGGCCTTCTGGTTATATATCCAAATACACTTTTTTTTTTTTCTTTATAGGGTACTTTGGTTGCTAAAAAAAAAAAAAGTTTGTGTGGGATTCTAGGTTCATATAACAGAAAATTACTCATGAAACTTTCATGTTGTGTAATAATTAGAGGATAAGAACCATTAAATAATACTGAGGGAACCCCACAAAATTGTATTTATACCGATCTGTACCTTGTTTGGACAATCTAAATGTGCCTCTGCTGCTTGCCTTTATGTGCATCAGTTTTCTTCTTTCTTTGTGTCATGCTTATTTATATGGCATGTTTTCTTCTATTTTCTTTTTCTCCTTTTTTTAATTTTTTTTAATTTCTAAATTACCTTTTTCCTTGCCTGCTTTTTCCTGTGACCCTGTTGCCACCTAAAGATTTCTAATTAGATAAAATTTTGAGGCTTTTAAGCCCAAGTGACCCTAGTTGTGGAAGGATGGCTCTCAAAGTGTGGTCCCTGGACCAACAGTAAAGCATCAGCATCACCCAGTAACTTGTTAGAAATGTGAATTTTCAGGTCCACCTTTGACCTCCTCAAAGGAGATCTCTGGTGGTGGGGCCCAGCAATCTGTTTATCAAGACCTCCAGGTGATTCAACCACTTCTTTTGAAGAAAAGAACCATAATAGGTGGAAAGGAGGATTTACTAGTTACTTCAGTTTTGAAAGGTCTAATTCCCAGCTGCTAAATCAAGAGCAGAACTAGTCCTTACCTCTTACACAGAGATTAACATAAACCTGGGAAGCTTCATGAATGTTGTGCTGTTCCCTATTATTTGTATCTCTTTCTGCCTATATGTGACTTCATCTCAAATACTTATTCCTGTCTATGCTACTAAAAAATGTCTAAGGATAAGGAAAAAGGCTTCTGAAAAAAATGTTACATTTGAAAGCACATGCTTTTAGAAATGTATCTTTTATCTGCTGTGTAAAAAAGTTATTTTGAATATTTATTAAACATTGTTTGAGTGGGCTGATAGAAGATTTTTTAAAGGAACAATAAAAGAAAACCACTTATTCAGAATCTACTGTAATTTGAGAATAGTAAGGGAATTTGGCTGTTTACTTACAAGTTTTTTGAGTTCTGAATGAAGACTTGAAAAATCTTATCCATACTCATTTATAAGCATATTAGTATTGAAATTGTGATTGAGTTCAAATATTCTTTAACCCAGTAGATAAAACACTTTCAAATTTGTACAAAAGACTAAAAGTCCTGCCTAAGGTAATGCTGCACTGAGAAATAAAAAGGATGCTAAGATTAGACTTTCAAGTATTCATAAAGGCTTGACCTAAACTGCACTACATAGCATATTATTTTCCCTGTAAAGAGTCATATTAATGAAATAATTCTTGTATCTTAAGAAAAGCACACTTTCTGAGCAGATAGAAAACTCTACGGAGCAGCATGCAATAGGTCTTTTTTTCCTTCTAGACACGATCTATTTTTAGCTTTAAGTCATAAACAAAATTAACTCAGGTTTATTAGTATTGGTGGCAAAATAGAAAAAGGCAGAAAACTCAAATGATTCAGAATAAAATTGATGTCTGAGAACTATTCTTTAGATATTATGCTATTTGTTGTGTTGGGGTCTTGCCAAGGTCATTCTAGCATTGATTTTTTTGTTGATGGTATTTTTGGCAGATCCAAGTTGATGAAGTCAGAAAGCTGGTATATTTTGAAGGTACCAAAGACTCACCTTTAGAACATCACCTGTACGTGGTCAGTTATTTAAATCCTGGAGAGGTGACAAGACTGACTGACCGTGGCTATTCCCACTCTTGTTGCATCAGCCAGGTATTAAGTCCCTGTGTGAGAAGGGTTTCTTGTCATATTAAAAAAAACCCTCTGCTCATGTAATATTCCTTTTGAATGACTGAAAATTGGTGAAATTGATTCTATGGAAGTCTGATCCTTTTAGGAAAAGCTTTAAAAAGTTTAGCCTTATCACCCAAATCAAAATAAAATTAAAAAAAAAAAAAAGTTTAGCCTTATCTTCAGCATTATGTATGTATATAAATGGCCAAACTCTTATCATATTCCTGCCATAGTGCAGATGTAACATCAGGTAAACAATTTTTTTTTTTCCTTTTCCCTGGGGGAAAGACAATAATTGTTTCTCTTTTCTCTAGCATTGTGACTTCTTTATAAGTAAATATAGTAACCAGAAGAATCCACACTCTGTATCCCTTTACAAGCTGTCCAATACTGAAGATGACACAACTTGCAAAACAAAGGAATTCTGGGCCACCATTTTGGATTCAGCAGGTACTTAACTTTCCCTGTACCTGACCTTAAATAGAATTAGTACAATAGTACATTACGCCTGTGTCACAGATTTTCATTCCCTGGACAGAGGCTTCCTGTCTACTGTTGTTTCTGAACTGCCGAACCCCTGATCAATCCCACCCCTCCAATTCTTTGAACTAATGAATAAGATGGGTTACCGCTCACGCCAGGTGGCAGCAGGTCTGGAAGACCTTTTTAAAAAATAAGATTAAAAGAGTCAAGGTATCAGCTAAGAAACTTGATGTCATTCACACATTTGAATGATTTTCAAAAAAAACAGATGAGCTTAAAGATAATATATGCTGACTAGTAAGATCTAGTAAGAACAGGGAAGCTGTAGCTTTGGGGAATAAACAGCTGGTAGGTAGCTCTTTTCATCCTCTCAACTACTCTACAACAGTCATGTTTTTAAAAGGTGAAAACACTTGTTTTTGTGTAGGTCTGAGGATCAATGTGAATTATCTATTTTTAAAATACTTAATTTCTTAAACATAGTTTTAATGTATCTTTTTAACCCATTTTACCCTAAATCTTTTGTCCTGATAAGTATTTTCATTCACTAATATCTGCTAATGGAGCCCTGTTGGTGCAGGTTAAAGATTCAGCTGCTAACTTAAAAGTTGGCAGTTCAAGCTACCCAGAGGGACCGAGTAGTTGATCCTGCGGGCTTGGGACCATAGTCGCAGGGGACATCAAGCTCAATTGGCATAACATACTATACAAAACATTGTTCCACCTACTACTTTGGCGAGTAGCGACTGGGACCTTAAAAGCTAGGAAGCTGCCATCTAGATGCAACAACGGGTCTCTCCTCGTCAAGAAGAAAGAAGAAAACCAAAATTAATGGAAACAATCAGTCCTAGCGACTGGTACACCATCCAATCTGCAACCTATACAACTATGAGACCAGAAGAACTAGATGGTGCCCAGCTACCACTGCCATCCACTTGGAAGGGATGTAGGAGATCCTGCATAAAGAGGGAGAACAATGTGGTACAAAACTCAAAATCATTTGGAGGCAAAAAAAAAAAAAAGAAGGTGGGGACCAGGTTTGCTGGTCCAATAGAGCCTGGTGTAACCACTGAGACTGTGGCCCCTAGCTGTCCTTCAGGTCTGGAATTGAACCCACAACTGTGGTTTCCAGCCAAACAAAGTACAGGCATGTGAGTTAAACATTTACTTCAAGTAGACACACGCCCTGGAGAGAACAATCATGGGAGAAGGGAGGGCTGCTTATGCACAGGGAGATAGCTCAGGGTGCAGAAGAGTATGAAGGGATGGACACTGGGAGGAGGTAACTATGGGGAGGAAGTGGGAGGGGAGCTGCTGCATTGTAAATTTTGGTCAATGACATGAGACAAAGTATATGTGAACTGCTGTATGAAAAGTGAATTTACTCTGTAAATCTTCACCCAAATCCTAATTAAAAAAAAAAAAAGGAAAAAAAAAAAAGTTGGCAGTTCAAACCCATGAGTGGCTCTGTAGGAGAAAAGATCTGGCAGTCTCCTGTAAAGATTACAACGAATCAGGATCGACTCAACAGCACACAACAATATCTGGTAATATCTGGAATTAGTGTCATATCAAAGGGTATAAAACCAAATTCACTGCCGTCAAGTCGGATCCTACTCATAGTGACCCCTCCTTGGGTTTCCGAGGCGGTATTGCTACGGAAGTAGATTGCCCAATCTTCCTTCCGAGTTCCGAGGAATGGCTCGTGGATTTGAACCACCAGCCTTCTGGTTAGCAGTCTGATGCCTTAGGCACTATGCCACCAGAGCTCCTATCAAAGAGTATAGGTATGTTTTAATGTCCACAAGCAGAATTTATAATATGATGATGGTCTCTGCTTACAGTGTAACAACATGCACTATCCACAGACACTTAGGAGAAGCCTGTTTAGCTTTGGTGAATCAAAGACTAATTGTGACTTTCTTTTTTCTAGTTAGCCTTATTCTCTAATGATCACTGTAATTCATCAATTGTTTATTGGCCCCTGCCCTAAGCAGGTAGAAATGACTGTTAAATTTGTGTTTCCAGGTTCTAATCAGATGTATGACCTGTCTATCAATGAGTTATGCTGAACCAAGCAGTATTTGTCCAGTTTGGGGTGAAAGTACCTCCTAGGCTTCAAGGATTATTCAGAATACTGTGTCTACTTCTGCAGTAGATAATTTTATATATTCATTAGATTTATTTCTTTAAGATGAATATTCTTGCTTAATTTCTAGCCTGTCAACTAGAAAGGGGATGGTCAGTTATTTGTGTGTAGGTCTGGATATATGGTATCTTCTTCCTTGCTCTCAGATTATAGAGCTCCCAGAAGGATTTCTTTTATAGACTCTGTATGTTACCTACTCACAGGTCCTCTTCCTGACTACACCCCTCCAGAAATTTTCTCTTTTGAAAGTACTACCGGATTTACGTTGTATGGAATGCTGTACAAGCCTCATGATCTGCAACCTGGAAAGAAATATCCCACTGTGCTGTTCATATATGGTGGTCCTCAGGTGGGCATAAATACATAAATATTTATTATATATAATTTAGATGGTTTGTGTTTTAAATTTCTAGTCAGTTTGTTTAGGGTGTGGTTTTGAGCATTGTTGGGCCTCTGCTGTTCTCAACTCTGCCTTATGTTCTAATTATTTCATTTAGGAGTTCAAGAAGCAGGGTTTTGTTAAATGGTTAAATTGTAAATCAGTAAATCGGTTTCTTAATTTACAATGAGAACTGTAACTCATGGGGAGTGGAAGACTTGTGTCAGTAGGTAAATACATTGCTTTCTACATTGGGAAACTTGTTTGGAAAATGAAATTAGATAATTAAATTTCTTGGTCAGTAGGGTTTTAACAGATGTTTTCAGAAAGACTTGGTTACCTAGGGAATCCCTCTCTTTATTCTAAGACTTCATCTTTTAAAGCTATATATATTCAAGCAAGAAAACTTTTATCAAATAGTTAATGTAACTGATGTACTGCTCTTCAACACTGGAAGAAGTTTACACTTTTATTTTTTTCTGGATTGAATATTAGCATGTGAATGTTAAATACATGCAGTTGACTATCAGAGTAAAGTATTACTGGTAAAGTATTATCAATTGGCTAATTGGTAATATAAAAAAATAATTATTCCTGATTATATATCTCACATGGAGCCACTGAAGAAATTAGAATGTAATTAAAGTGCATAATACAACTCTTGCAAGATAATACAACTCTTGGACTCAGAAAATATCTTTTATGATTATACTCAGTTATTCCATATCTGGAATTGTATCTTGATACCAAGTCATGCAAAGAATAAAATAAAAGTAAAGTAACTACGTAAGCCATAAAATCTCAGTATGATGATCATACATGATCGATTAAATCACTTTGCAACTGTTAAACATGTTTGTAAGCAAACCTAACATGATTCACATTCATATCATATCATCTACACAGAAATTATGAAAGCTTTAGCCTTTTCTTAATAACATAAAGTCAGAATCTTTGTAAACTTAATTAATCGATACAAGGAGACCTTTGTCTTAAAATGTAGATAACCAACTAGTTTTTATAGTGTCTTTCAGATATCTCACATATCATTTCTTCATTGGGAAGGACAAACACCCTTTTTACTTAGCCTTACTATCAAAGTAATACAACAAAATATGTAAAGCATTTGACAGTGTCCTGTAATTTCTGTTTTGAATTTATTTGTATTGTCTTTTTTTTTTTTTTTTAAGTTTAAAAAATATTAACAGGTGTAGTTAGTTTGAAGTATTTTATGAATACAACTATATGGTTTTGTACTTCTAGAAGTAATCATATTTAAAATGCTAAAAATGAGTTCAACATTTGATTTTTGAAAAGCTACAGATGATATAGGATGATTTTTTGATTTCTTAAAGTATTCTTTGGAAGCATTCAAATTTGTGCGATCATAGGAGAATCAATCTCAGGTTCAGTTTGCTGGGCCCATTTCCCCATGGGACTTCACATGATAGAGTGACTCTGGGACTTCAGCCCACTTTGATATCATTCGTCTCCTTGCTTGATGACTCTATGGGGTTAGTTATGAAGAGACTCTTTATGTAAGACCGGCTCTTTCTAATAACACACCATGGCCTTGGAGAATTTGATTATAAAAGTGAGATGGTTGTGTGATCTTTCTTAATGTTTATTCAAGCAGGATGGTCAAAGCAGGTCTTCAAACCGATTGGTTTAGTCATGGCCAACAGAGCATACGGTGCACAGCAACCAGATCTCTTGCGCTTGGGATTTTGATCCGAGTAGGAAATAAGCAGCAGTACCCCACTTAAAGGTGGTGACTGACGGCCCACTTTGAATGTGTGTTGGCCACCATCTTTGAGCAGAGAACCACTGCTTAATTCCTACTTGAGTTATAATCCCACAAGAGATGTGGCTGCAATGCAAGGTGTATGTTCCATCAGCTATGACTGAACAGGTTTGAACCAATTTGAAGCCCTGCGTCAAGTGTAAATCCTTTGAAACCACAACAGTATCAGAGTTCATAACATGAAATGAATTACTTTATCACTAAATGGGAGCTCTGGTAGCATAGTGGCTAAGGCACTTGACTGCTAACCAGAAGGCTGGCGGTTCAAACCCACCAGCCACTCCTCGGAAGGAAGGTTGGGCAATCCTACTTCTGTAGTGATACTGCCTTGGAAACCCAAGGAGGGGTCGCTATGAGTCAGGGCTGACTCGACGGCACATAACAACAACAACAAATACAACAATTTCTGTAGGTCAAACCAAAACCAAACCCCCTGCCACTGAGTTGATTCTGACTTACTGCTCCCCTCTAGGACAGAGTAGAACTGCCCTATACAGTTTCCAAGGCTGTAAATCTTAAGTGTTTATTTAACAAACGCTTATGGTGCTTCCTGTGTACCAGACACTATCATGCAAATATAAATGCAGGTGATAGCAGGATACAGGTTTTGAAAAACTGATACTAAAGGAGATTTTAGAATCCCCAGTGCCAGAAGGCATTATGCTTTTAAATACTTTCTTCCAGAAGCAGCAGGCCTCCAGGCTATAAAGGCTGAAATACTGGCTCAGGGGAAAAGTGTTTTTATCAGGCAGTTGAGGCCCTCTTCTGTGCTTAACAGGAGCCCTGGTGTCGCAGTGGTTAAAGCACTCAACTGCTAACTAAGAGAGCAACCATTTGAACCTACCAGCCTCTACAGGAGAAAGATGTGGCAGTTTTCGTCCATAAATATTTACAGCCTTGGAAACCCTACAGGGCAGTTCTACTCTGCCCTAGAGGGTCACTATAAGTCGGAAACCAAGTTTGCTTTAAATGCTCCATAATTTGTTCTCTTCCATGCCTAGGGTTTCTTCTTTCAGCTCCCTTTCTTTAAAAACTAGTACCTTTATCCATCACAACACCTCCTCCCAAGGTAGGAAGGGCAACATCATTCTCATATCTCTGTTTTTCATTTATTCATTCAGCAAATAATATTGACTTCCTGTTATGTGCCAGGTACTATTTTAGGCAGTGAGGATTACACAGTAAACAAGTAGGACGAAAGTCCTACCTTTGTGGGGCTTAATGTTTCCCCATTAAACAAGTAGACATATAAATGATAGAACTTCAGTTAATGCTGTGAAGAAATTAAGCTGGAAAAGGAATAGCAGCACAACTGAGATGGGTTGGGGAGTTCCGAAGAGGATGGTCAGGGAAGCCTCTCTGAGGATACAAAGAATGAGAAAAAATGAACCACATTAAGATCTGAGGAGAGACATTCCATACAGTGGTAACAGTGAATATAATGTAGTGAGAACTAAGGAGCTCTGATAGTATAGTGGTTAAAGCATTTGGCTGTTAACAAAAAGGTCAGTGGTTCAAACCCACCAGGCACTCCACAGAAGAAAGATAAAGCAGTCTGCTTCCATAAAGATTTACAGCCTTGGAAACCCAATGGGGGTCGCTATGAGTTGGAATCAACTCAGTGGCAGTGAGTTTGGTTTGGTTTTTGGTGGTGAAAACCAGCTCGCGCTCTCTCTCTCTCTCTCTCTCTCTCTCTCTCTCTCTATATATATATATATATAGTTCATAACAGGGAGACCAGTATGGGTAGAGTGAGCAAAGGGGACATAGTATAAGATGAAGTCAAAGAGACATCCAAGGGCCAGATAGTGTAGAGTCTCAAAGGCCATGGTAAGGAGTTTAGACACTATTCTTAAGTGTAATAATAGCTATTGAAGGGACCCAGGCAGCAAAGTCCTATCTGAGTGGCATTTTTAAATGATCATTGCTGTCCAGTAACAGACTATAGGAGAGCAAGAATAGATGCAGGAAGACCAGTCTGGCAGTTGTGTTTAATGGTGCTAAACATCCAAAAGTGCAAAAAGAAAGGGTTCTTTTATCCCCTGCAGAATTAGCGCAGTAAATGCTAAATAGTTTTCTCTCTCTCTTTTTCTTTTTTTGGTTGAAGATACTGTTGATTTTTACTTACCTACTAGCTGACACAATGTTTCATTGATTTCAGCCAGAGAAAACTTTTTCTACCCCAAAGACTATGGCCCTTAGACACTCTTCAGGCCTGGAACTGAACTCTCATCCCCGTGACTCAGCTTTCAGTCAGACGATAGACAGGTCTATAAGGTGAACAACAATACTAGGGAGGTATGCACTCCTTAGAAAATCAACCATACGGGATCAAAAGGACAGCACTTGCCCAGGGATAAAGCTCAGAAGGTGGGAAGGGATAGGAGAGGATGAATGGAACTGGTAAACACAGGGAGGGAGTGGGAAGAGTGTTATTACATTGTGAGGATTGCTGCAATCAGTGTCACAAAACAAAGTATGTATGAATTATTGAATGGAAAACCAGTTTGCTCTGTAAGCTTTCGCCTGAATCACAATAAAAAGTTTAAAAAACAAATATTTTTTCTTTCTCATTTTGCCAAGACTTCAGATCTTGAACTTCTGTAATCTTTTGTCCACTATATACTCCTCTTTTCACTAGATAGGAGCTCTGGTGGTACTGTGGTAAGGCATTTGGCCAGTAATCAGAAGGGCTGTGGTTCAAGCCCACCAGCTGCTCCATGGGAGAGAGATGAAGCAGTCTGTTTCAGTAAAGATTTATAACCTTAGAAAGCCAATAGGGGTCTCCATGAGTCAGAATCAACTCAATGGCAGTGGATTTTCACTAGATAGCATTATTCCTGATGACACACTAAAATACATTTAATTTCTCAGTCATTTTAAAATATAGTCTTTAGAGTGATAAAGTGATTTTAAAACTATCCTACTTTATTAAGGAAACCAGACTGGTCATATTGTCCAATTAAAATTCCTAGTTATTCCCACTACTAGTCAGAGACAACCTCAGTGGAGATGGGTGGGTAGGAAAGATGATCTTGTTTATCATTGTCACTGTCATTTGAATGTCACAATTCTTCAGAGTAAAAGTAATCATTTTTATAGCTTTCTCTGTTGGGTAGATTGATTCTCTTGACTTGTATGTAATTAGTATCTAGGTTATAGTTGTAAAGTCTGTCATTGTTTAGTCATTACTCTGCATCTTGAGTGTGCAGTTGGCAAGCAGCAGCATAAATGTGAAAAGATGTAAGTTATTTTGAAAATGAAATACTTAAAAGTTACATTAAAAGGCAAAATAACAAAAAAAAGAAATAAGTTTTTTACTTTTTGTAAAGTCCTGCCTCTCATGCTTTTGTATGCTAACCACATAATAAATGTCACTGAAGTTGTATCTCTTCCTCAGGTGCAGTTGGTGAATAATCGGTTTAAAGGAGTCAAATATTTCCGCTTGAATACCCTAGCCTCTCTGGGTTATGTGGTTGTGGTGATAGACAACAGGGGATCCTGCCATCGAGGGCTTAAATTTGAAGGCGCTTTTAAATATAAAATGGTGTGTGAGCCTGAAAACATTTTTTAAATAATTCACATTTTCTGTTGCATTGTTTGGTGTCGAACCCCAGAGAGAGTTGGAAGAAGTGCCTGTTAGTGAGAATATGTATGTGTATGGTGAAGTTGGGAGGTGGGAAGGAAGATGTAACTGGATACTTTCTAGGCTAGCTGACATCTACCTGCATGTAACTTTGGAGAGCTAAGATGGAGCTCCATACACATGGAAATACCCTCTCTTTCTATTTTTGTATGTCCAGGTTAGCCAGAAGGCAGCACTATTTAGTTTTCAGTATCCTGTACACTATTGAGAGGGATAATTGAGATTTGTTCTGTCCTCTGCGAAGAGGGAAACCAACTGGTTAGTGCCTTCCTTGTGACAAGCCTCTTTCTCTCTACAGGAAGCTTTAAATGCTACCTTTTAGAGATGCCCCATGTCCCTTCTGCTGCTTTGGGAAATGATGAGAATCCGATGTTCCTTTTACACAGTAAGGCAGTTACTGTGTTTGCCAGTATGTTGGACATGCTGAGTAAGACATGGGGAATTTCTCCCACAGCCAGTTCTTTGACCTTATGTTGGTTGTATTCTCATGTAAGTTTTTTTGTTTTTATTTTTGTTTCTGGCTCAGTGAAGTGAGGTTATGTGCACTGGCAGGCCTAGTAATAAAGACAGGGTGGTGGCTATAGGAATTTAGAACTTAGTAGGACTTTAAAGAAATAGAATGTTCATTTCCTAATAGTATGGGAGAAATAGGAGTCAGGGCCTCAACAGAGATTCCCTCTGCTTCACTAGTTTCAAGAGTAGTTAAATCAGTCAACCAATTAAGGGGGCTAATTTTTTGTCTTTGGGTATGGGAAGGCTTGTTGCAAGGAAGATGCTGACCTCTTAGCAGACAACAGAACAAATGGAAATGATTACAACAAGGAATAGTTTGGGTAGCCATAGAAAAGAACTTTATGACTGAGGAGTAACTAAATTCTTAAGACAGGCTAGCAACAGAACCTGTAGGCCCCTATCTCTCAAATCGTTCTTTGGACAACAGAATCTCAGTTGATAATAAATTCCGATCTAAAAATGCTACAAGTACTTTTAGTGAAAACATGTAGTAGCTTTATAAGCATTCTTATAATACTTTTATCGATCAGGATCAATCAATAAAATATTCTTCCTCTTTTTGGCAGGGTCAAATAGAAATTGACGATCAAGTGGAAGGACTCCAATATCTAGCTTCTCGATATGATTTCATTGACTTAGATCGTGTGGGCATCCATGGCTGGTCCTATGGAGGATACCTCTCCCTAATGGCATTAATGCAGAGGTCAGATATCTTCAGGGTAAGTGATTGTCTATTATTCTTAATTTTACAATAAGGGTAGAATTTTCTGTAAATTGAGGATATGAGAAGATGCCTATTTTCTGAAAGTTTAAACAGTTGGTGATATTATGAAATGTTAGAGTTTGTGTATTTAATAGCTGTGTGAGATATACATGCATGTATACATACATACACATAATACTTTTCAACTAGGTGACCAGTTACTGGTTATTTATAGACATATGCCAAAGATCTTAAGAGATAGTCATAATTAGTAAAACATACACACATATATAATTGATTATAATACTTATTTTAATTGTTGGACTGAATGCTCTGAAGGCAGGGACCTATCTGCCTACTCTTTAGCCCTGTACCCTCAGCAGCAGCCAAACACAAGCTTGGCTCTGACCATAAATCTGTATTGAGTGAATAAATTATGAAATATATAAACAATGATTACGGTTAAATAAATGAAGCCTTAGAAAAATACTCTAGAGGAAACTACATAGAGATGTAAGAAAGTAGATGCTAGATAGAGTGGGAGAACAATATGGAACAAAACTCAAAATCATAAAAATAAACAGGTTGACTGGTCTGATGGAACCTGGTGAGACCCCCGAGACCATGATCCCTAGTTACTCTTCAGATCTCGAATTGAAATCACTCCCATGGCTTCCAGCGTAACAACAGACAGACATATAGGGTAAACATTTACATCAAATAGATACATTCAGAATGCTCAATCATGGTAGAACAGAAGGGCAGTGTTTGCACAGGGAAATAGCTCAGGGGGCAGGAATGCATAGGAGAAAAGGACACAAGGAAGAGGTAACTATAGGGAGGAAGTGGGAAGAGAGCTGTTACATTGTGGGGATTGCAGTAAATGTCATGAAACAAAATGTGTGTGACTACTGTATGAAAAATGAATTTGCTTTGTAAACTTTTACCCAAATCACAATAAAAAATTTAAAAATGAGAGTAGGAATTATGAGTTGTGTTTTTCTTTTTTAAAATATTTAAAAACATGACTTTTTATGGTAAAAAATGTTTTATGTTTAATAATAAAATGATAAGCCTTTTGTTCTTGTGTGTACATTCAGATGATCCACAAAATGAATTTTGTAAACTACCATAATTTTTCCAGCTTGCAGCTATTGAGAAAGTAATTACAATATTTAAATAGAAAACTTTGTGGGAGCCTTAAAATTAGGCAAGTTTTTTTAGTACTTAAATATAATTCATTCATAACTTTAAATTCTGTACTGCTTTTAAAAGTGTCTGCTTTTCCAGCCAGATGATTGGGACCTTCTAAAAATTAAATTTTTATGTGCTTCCAAAGACTTCTCCAAAAGAGTCAAAAGAGAACCTACAGATTGGGAAAAAATATTTGGTAATAACATATCTGACAAGGGACTTATCTCTAGAATTTATAGAACACTCCAACACCTCAATAACAAAAAGACAAACAATCCAATTAAAAAATGGGCAGAAGACATGAATAGACACTTCACCAAGGAGGATATTCAAGTGGCCAACAAACATATGAAGAAATGCTCACGATCATTAGCTATTAGAGAGATGCAAATCAAAACAACAATGAGATACCATCTTGCTCCAGCACTACTATCAAAGTTCAACAAGACAGAAAATAACAAATGCTGGCGAGGTTGTGGAGAGATTGGGACTCTCATACACTGCTGGTGGCACTGTAAAATGGTACAACCATTGTGGAAAGCAGTATGGCGATTCCTTCAAAAGTTGGAAATACAAATACTATTTGACCCAGCCATCCCATTACTAGTTATATACCCTAAAGAAGTGAGAGCCATAACAAGAACAGATATATGCACGCCGATGTTCATCGCAGCACTATTTACAATAGCCAAAACTTGGAAACAACCTAGATGTCCAACAACTGAGGAATGGATAACCAAACTTTGGTACATTCACACAATGGAATACTGTGCAACGCTAAAGAATAATGTAGAATCTACAAAACACCGCATAACGTGGATGAACTTGGAGGACATTATGCTGAGCGAAATAAGTCAGTCACAAAAGGACAAATATTGTATTAGTCCGTTATTGTAAAAGTTAAGGAAAGGTTTATCTATTGGAGGACATTTTCTTTGTTGGTTACCAGGGGTGGGAGGGAAGGGGAGGGAATGTTGTTAGATAGATAGAGATAAATATTGATTTGGGTGAAGAGAAGGGCAATGTACCAAATGTGAGTGACCAATATGGCAGCATTGAGGATGAGAAAGACAGAGAGTTACATGGGCAGTACAAACAACAAATATGAACCCCTTTGCATATACAATACTGAGTTGTCAGTGAAAGCAAACATGGGTATAGGGACGGATAGATGGGTGAACAAGCTAAACAATTAGGTATGTCTAAATGGAGAGTGTATCCAAGATCATATACAGGGTTGGCAGACAATGGGCCTATAAGTTCATGTGAATGATCAGAATTCCCAGGTGTATAGTAGAGCTGACAAAGAGCAAGGTTATGGTCATTACTTGGTCACAGCCAGCTACCCAGAGGGACCGAGTAGTTGATCCTGCGGGCTTGGGACCATAGTCGCAGGGGACATCAAACTCAATTGGCATAACATACTATACAAAACATTGTTCCACCTACTACTTTGGCGAGTAGCGACTGGGACCTTAAAAGCTAGGAAGCTGCCATCTAGATGCAACAACGGGTCTCTCCTCGTCAAGAAGAAAGAAGAAAACCAAAATTAATGGAAACAATCCGTCCTAGCAACTGGTACACCATCCGATCTGCAACCTATACAACTATGAGACCAGAAGAACTAGATGGTGCCCAGCTACCACTGCCATCCACTTGGAAGGGATGTAGGAGATCCTGCATAAAGAGGGAGAACAATGTGGTACAAAACTCAAAATCATTTGGAGGCAAAAAAAAAAAGAAGGTGGGGACCAGGTTTGCTGGTCCAATGGAGCCTGGTGTAACCACTGAGACTATGGCCCCTAGCTGCCCTGCAGGTCTGGAATTGAACCCACAACTGTGGTTTCCAGCCAAACAAAGTACAGGCATGTGAGTTAAACATTTACCTCAAGTAGACACACGCCCTGGAGAGAACAATCATGGGAGAAGGAAGGGCTGCTTATGCACAGGGAGATAGCTCAGGGTGCAAAAGAGTATGAAGGGATGGACACTGGGAGGAGGTAACTATGGGGAGAAAGTGGGAGGGGAGCTGCTGCATTGTAAATTTTGGTCAATGACATGAGACAAAGTATATGTGAACTGCTGTATGAAAAGTGAATTTACTCTGTAAATCTTCACCCAAATCCTAATTAAAAAAAAAAAATTGAAAAAGTGTCTGCTTTTCCTATATAAAACTGACACTTCTCCCGGTAGCAGAAATGACTTTACACTGAGCTATACATAGGCTCTAGTTGACAAAGGGGCCCACATTTATATGCCAGCTAGCCCAGATTAAGAGTAGGGTTTGCTGCATGACTGAACATGAAGCTAACTGACTCACCTAAGTATCAAATTCTTGACCTTGGCACTTTCTTTGATTTTCTGCGTTGCCTGAGACATGTATGCCTCAGTCATGGGACTAAAGCTACTAAGGATAATTTTAGCCTATAAATTTACAATTACAAATTCTCATAGTTAGCCATCCTTTTCTGAACCACATTTGACCATCAGTGTTGGTTTATACAGGTTGCTATTGCTGGAGCCCCAGTCACTCTGTGGATCTTCTATGATACAGGATACACGGAACGTTACATGGGTCACCCTGACCAAAATGAACAAGGCTATTACCTAGGATCTGTGGCCATGCAAGCAGAAAAGTTCCCTTCTGAGTAAGTTCAGGCTTTAAAATTGAGATTATAAATTTAAAATTGTATTTTTAAAAACTATCTTTAATAATGATGAAAACTACAAATAATGAAAAACCAAGATTAATATTTTATAGAATACTAAAATGTCATGGCTGTTTCTCAGAGCTAAATAAGTCCTTGCTTATTTATAGATCAGTTCATATAGTTTGTTTTTATAACAAGTGTATTTAAAGCAGTTGCCTTAGGATGGAAAAAATTACATCTCTGCTTATTTTACAGATAGTGATTTATCTTTTTCTAGAGATGTGCTATAATTATTGATGTGTGCTAATATTCCAGGAAATTGAATACTAAATCTTTTTATTGTTTTTTCAGTCTTTCATTATGTGTAGAATCCAGTTAATATATTACAAATTTAATATTAATAATGTTGAATCCTTATTCTAACATCACATTATAAGGGAATTAACATAGTTAAGTGAGATTAGTTTAAATGAGTTAAGTATTTCCCCAAAATCCTCTGTTTTGTCTAATCCTCTGGTATTTCCATATCTCTAGACCAAATCGTTTACTGCTCTTACATGGGTTCTTGGATGAGAATGTCCATTTTGCACACACCAGTATATTACTAAGTTTTTTAGTGAGGGCTGGAAAGCCATATGATTTGCAGGTGAGTTATTCTACATTTTCTAATTAAAGTAGTGATTAGCAATTGATTACTTTGAAATCTAATGAACTGTGGAAGAAAGGCAAATTTTCAACTGTGGCCACCCTCTAACAGATATAGTTGGTGTACCTTCTCTGGCTGGATAAAAAATCATGATTCTGTTGAAGTCAGGTTGGAAAATTGGCCTGTATGATTACATGACTTGTGTGTCTGTGTCTGCTGTCACAGTTTGTAAATGCAGGAAAAATGACAGGGAGTCCCTTCACTGTTTTCCTTTGCTTTTCTCTTCCCTTTGAAGGGTTAGGAAATGCTGCTTCATTTGATTGCTAGAAAAGAGATTTTAAGCCTGATTACATGATCTTCTCATTTTCTCCTTTTTATTTTGTACTGGCCTTGGAGCAGAAATCTTTAGGTTACCTCCTCCATTGATCCATTGCTCAAAAAAAGTTTTATGAGAAACTGTTTCCCTTACTCAGATTATGTGCCCATAAGAAATGAGAAGTATTACTTTCTCCTTTTTCATATTTCATATTTGAGATACTTGGTTTTTTAGAGTCTTAGGGTCCCTTTATAGTTTAAAAAATTATTGAGGATCCCAAAGAACTTCGTTAATATGGGTTATGTCTATCATTGTTTTTCAGATTAGATACTGACACTGAGAAAAAAATGTTGTTATTCTGTAACTTATTATTAGAAATACTAATAAACCATTAATATTAAAACAAATAACATTTTCATGGGGAACAAAAAATATAATTTACTGAGAAAAGTAGCTTTGTTTTACATTTTTACAAATTCCTTTACTTTCTGGCTTAATAAAGAAGACACCTCAATTCTTGTATCATCTCTGCAATTCAGTCTGTTGTGCTGTTATTTGGGCTAATGGGGATCCGACTCATAGGGACCCATCCTTGGGTTTCCAAGGCAGTATCACTATGGAAGTAGATTGCACAGTCTTCCTTCTGAGGGGTGGCTGATGAATTTGAACCACCAGCCTTCTGGGAATCAGTCAGATGCCTTAGGCACTCACTACACCACCAGAGCTCCCAATATATATGAAGAAAATTCAGCTCACAGTTTACGTAGTTAAGAAAAGAAAGGTATGTTTTAGTCTTTTCAGATAATTTGGGCTGTTCTACTTTGATACTACACCAAAACTTATCTATTGGTAGTTCCTTAAAGTTAGAATCGACTCGATGGCAGTGGTCTTTTTTGTTTTGTTTTGTTTTTAAGATTAGCTATAATTTGGAATCTGAAGCTGTATCAGTAAGCTTTTTATATTCTGTTAAAATCCTTTGACTCTCATACTTCAAATGGATCTTTTACCCATACTTAGTCTTCTGCACATATCTTTTAAATATGATTCATTTCATTATATAATATTTTAAAATGACATATATTAATATTACCACTGATTTCATCAAAAAAGTATCTTGATATATAAATGGCCAACAAGCAAAAGATGTTCAACATTAGCCATTAAGGAGATGGAAATCAAAACCACTAGAATGGCTATGGTTCAAAGGAAAACAATAGGTGTTGGCAAGGATAGGGAAAAAGTGGAACCTTTATCCATTACTAGTGGGCATGCAAAATGGTATAGCTGCTGTGGAAAAAATTTTGACAGTTCTCAAAAAGTTGAACATAGAACTATACCATATGACCCAGCTTTCCTAATCCTAAAGGATCTGAAAGCAGAAATACAGAGAGAAACCTGTATACCAGTGTTTATTGCAGCAGTGTTTACAATACCAAAAGATAGAAACAGCATAAATGTCTATCAGCAGATGAATGGATAAACAAAATGGGATATTTAATGAACTGGAAAATTACTCAGCCATAAAGAAAAATGAATATGAATACTGAAAACATTATGCTAAGTGAAATAAGTTACACACAAAAGAACAAACACTATATGATCTCACTTACATGAAATCAACAAATACATAGAAACCAAAGCTTATTAGTGATAATGGAAGTGAGAGGAAAGGAGCTCTGGTGGCACAGTGGTTCAGGCATTCAACTGTTAACTTTGATTGGTGGTTTGAACCCACCAGCTACTCGGTGGGAGACAGATGAGGCAGTTTGCCTCCAGAAAGATTGCCTTGGAAAGCTTGTGGGGCAGTTCTACACTGTCCTAAAGGGTCACCATGAGTCAGAATTTACTCCATGGCCATGGGTTTGGTTTTGAGGATGAGAAGGAGGAGGGAAGAGAGTATTACTATGTAGGGGGCACAGAGTTTATGTTAATGTTGTAGAATTCAGAAAAGGATAGTGAAAATGATTGAAGAATGTAATCAGTGTCACTGAGTTATACATGTAAAGATTATTGAATTTACAAATATTTTGTTAGGTCTATTTGTATCACAATTTTAAAAAAATGAATGTATATCCTAATGACATAAGACAAATAATTTATCTCTTGCCATGCGGAAACTGAAAACAGTGATACCATCTATGAATGGGACATCTAGATCCCAAATGAACATAGTTCTGGATATAATAAAACGTACATTTATATCATCTTTTTTTAAAAAAAAAAAAAAGCCTCAAGTATTGGGAGGATCATGAGTTAATGGTGGTAGACACAAGTTTTCTAAAATTATTTTCATTTTCTCCTGGAAGCTTGACTGTTACTGGCAAAAAATACTGTCAGTGTTGTTCTTAATGTGACTGCTCCCTTCATTCATTTTGGAGAAAATGTTTGCCAGATACCCAAGTCTGGAAAAACCATAATTTGTCAGTCATTCTGTCAAGCTGAAAATGGAGTTTAATTTTCCAAAGCACTAGTTCAGCTTATAGCTTAGTTGCACAGTACTTTTCTTTGAAGTCACCATTTCAGTATGTAGCTGAAGTGCTTTATACATACTTCCCATTTTACTGACACAGAATATTAAAAAGACACCTGTTCAAGGATTGCAGTTTAAAAAATTCTAATTTTTGCTACTACTTAAGTGAAACCAGCATTTTTTTTTTTTTTTTTTTTTTACTGCCAAGTGCTTGGTGGTGAAGAATTCAGTTTAATGTCACTGCCTTAATTTCATGCTAAGACACCAGCACTTTTACCCACCATTGCTTTTTCATCATCAGCACAAATGCTAACACAATCAAGAAAGGTAAATAAATCTTAGTATTGTTCTGAAAGTAGTTTTGACCACACATGGAGTACCACTGGTCTACAGATAAATCCTTCTGTTAGCCTAATGGTATATACCAAAGACTCCAAACTCAACTGCCACTGAGTATGTTCCGACTCATAGTGACTCCTCCCTGGGTTTCCGAGGCAGTATCTCTATGAAAGTAGATTGCCCAGTCTTCCTTTGGGAGGAGTAGGCTGGGGAGTTTGAACCGCCAGCCTTGTGGTTAGCAGTCACATGGCTTAGGCACTACACCACCAGAGCACAGTGCCAAATCCACCAACCACTCTGCAGAAGCAAGACTGGGCAAGAGTTACCGCCTCAAAAACCCATTGGGGGTCACTGTACGTCAGAATGGACTTGATGGCAGTGGGTTTTTTAATGGTATATTGTAGGATTTTACCCCTCTTTGGGTTTCCGAGGCAGTATCTCAAAAAGGGGTAAAATGCCCCATATTTATACCATTAAAAAACCCACTGCCGTTGAGTCGATTCCGACTCATAGCGAGGAGAGGGGCCTTTACATAGGATATATGTGTGTGATATCTTGGAGAGGCAGTGTACCATATTTTTAATCCTGTTGAGTATCTTTGAAGCTTGAGAAGGAAATGTAGTATTCAATTCTTATTTTTGTGCTTTGTTTTGTTTTTGTTGTTGCTGTTAAGATCTACCCTCAGGAGAGACACAGCATAAGAGTTCCTGAATCTGGAGAACATTATGAACTGCATCTTTTGCACTACCTTCAAGAAAACCTTGGATCACGTATTGCTGCTCTGAAAGTGATATAATTTTGACCTGTGTAGAACTCTGTTATACACTGGCTGCTTAACCAAATGAGGAAGTTAATCAATAGAGAACATAGAATTGATCATCACATTTTGGTACCTGCCATATAACATCTACTTCTGAAAGTAAATTTGGTGCCACACAGATGTCTACAGCTTGGGATAGTAATCTAATACCTTAGCCATACACACACAGAATTGAATGGCACATGTGTCTAAGGGACCCAGCAATACCATGAGAATTACTGAAAGAAATAAGGCATTAGCACCACATATCCATACTACCCTATTTTCACTTTTAAAAGCATTATAAACCTCATGGATTTAATTAGTGTATTTTTACAGTATATTTCTGAGTTTGTTAAAATATGATGATATTAATGATTGGTTTGGTTCAATTCCAGAATCTCTGACTAGTTACAGATTTGATAGCACTTAAATGTAATTGATGCTTATGCTTCATTGCCTTGGGTGTATCCAGCATGTTATGAACTAATCACTATTAATCCTATGACTTAACCAGTCATTAATGATTTCGAAGGATAACTAGTGACCTCCTAAAGACATTTATTTTGGTTCATTCGAGCTCTGACCAGTTTTTAGCCAATTTAAACTGTATCCAGTATAAACAGTTCTCATTTTTATTTGATGATATGACAGAGTGGGTTTTTCCTTTCGCATAAAGGCGAATAACTGTATATGTAGCATGGATTTAATTTGTCTTATGATATTGATAATTACAGGCAGAGAAATTTTAATGAAATGATTAGAGCTTAAATATTTGCAGGCTGTTTTTTTTTCCTTAGGAAAAGGAAAAAGTACACACTCACTTGTGTTCTTCACAAAATTTAGTGATACCCGTTTCCATTTGGTATTTCCTTGCTAAAATGTTGCAGAGTTTTCGGAAGGTGGAAGGAAGTCACAGTGGAGTGAGGGAGACCAGGGTGTGGGAAATGATGGAGAAGAGGAGTCGAGGACCTGCTTAACAGCTAAGCAAAAGTATAGTTTAACTGAAGATGACTCGTGAAAAAGGTTTGGGTTTGGGAACTAAGAAATCGCTCTCTTGCCAACACAGCTGCGGACTAATTTTATTCAGGGGAGGAAAAATTCTGTATGAGTTACTTTAATTATTCTAATACTTTGTTTTTTGTTGTTCTTAATTTTGGAAATTTACAATTTTAAACTTTATGATTTTTAAATTATTTGAGCGTAGAGACCTATTTAGATATTATGGGTTTAAAATAAAAAGGTTTCCAGAAAACTTGCTTAAAATAAGCTGATCCCCAGCAAGCCATTGCGCTCTTCTTCAGTATTTAAAGCCTAGAAACAGTTTCCCTGAATGTCCATGACATTTTCCTGGTTTAGCTCTAGCACTTGACTGTTAAAAAGCTTATTGGCTTTCAAGTGCTGATTGGGATCTGTCCTCTTGAAGTCTTGGGATGCTACAGAGGTTCACATTGGAGCCAGTGACAAAGAAGGCAACTATGAGTTTGACTCTTTAATCACAAGACTAGGTGTTTGGGAAGTTGTTACCAGTACTACCAATACTTTTAAACAGCAGTCCAAGAAAAATCACTCTATTTCTTCTTACCACTACAGAGAGAGTAGATTTCTTCCACAGAGAGCACAGCTTCCAGTAGTGGGGATGGTGACTCTCTCAGAGGTGGATTTCATCATTGAAGGCCAGGTGGGAGGTGAGAGAAGACCAGAAATGGCAGAGTGACGTGGTAGCTCTGCCCTTGGGAAGAGGATTGGGTCTTACTGTTTGTGTATTTATACTGTATCATAGATACCAAACTTTTCCTTATTATCTGTATATGTATTAATTTTCATGTTTATGCTATTTTCCCCCATACCAGGATTTGTTTATATTTTTTTCAGTGTTAAATTAAATTGATTTGGGTAAAGTTCTTTCCCCCAAGAAAGTATTTTCCCTCATGACTTAAGTATGTATCTGACTGTTGAAAGTGTTTTTGCTTTTGGCCTAGTTGACCTCTAAGGATTTATTCTTACAGCGTATGCAAAGTAGAAATGTTATACAGTGGCTTTTAGACAGTATTCGTTTGAAATCTCTTGCCATCAACACAGGGTAAAATGGCATCTCTTCTTTTCTAAAAACAACCCTTAAAAACCTTCATGAATTCTTGAATTATAGATGTTGTCCTTTTGCATCTTGCCTTCCCCTTTTCTCCTATCATCTCTCCTTCTTCCATCATTAGGGTTGCTTCTGTTAGAATTCCTGGTCATTTAAATGGCATTCTACTACTTTAGGGGAAAAATACCTGGTTAAATTTACTTGGAGAAGACTTGACTAAAAAATTTTTTAAGGACAGATGTGGAAAAGATTTCAGTCCATTCAAATGATCAGTAAAAAAAAAAAAAACTCACTAAAATAACTTGTACCCTGAGCAAGAGTATAAAAGTAGCAACAATTTTGGTGGAGAGCCAAAAAGCACTAGGTCGACTATCAAGCTGAATTTTTGCAAGCTTGATAAAAGTGCACTTAAACAGTCATTAATACATACAGCTACTTGGACATTGTAGAACAGGGGCACTCAAAATCTAAGACTTATCATAGTAAAAGGAATGGAGATTCTTGAACCTCTTTCTTACAAATTTGGATTCACTTGATTGGGTGGGGACCAGGAATCTGCATTTCTGACAAACTTTCCAGGTGCTTCTAAATCAGGTCCTCTGTGGATTTCTGCAAGAAACTCTTTTAGAGTGGTGGAGTTGGATTAAGAACATAATAGATATTTTTACACTGGACTGGTTGACAGGAACCAAGAACAGTAATTAAGAAAGCTGCTCCTTCTCTTGCTGAAAGAAACAGGAGGTAACAGTTAACTTTGGGGATTCACGTTGGAATGAAGGTTTTTCTCTCTGTGCCATTCCTGGCTCTCCCAAGCCTCACACAAATGATACGAAGATGACATCACAATGCATGTGTTAATCTTTTTAAAAAATGAGATACAGATACTGGTGCAATTATGCTTACTTTACTACTTTGTTTTATTCCTTACAAAAGGTCTATCCTATTTTTCTGTAGCTTTGTTTCCTCTTTAGGTGGAATGATTCCTATTAACACATCTCTCATTATTATAGAAGCATAATTTCAAGCTGGAATAAATCTTTGATGTAATCTAATCTAAAAGTGGAGGAGGAACCTACATACTAAAGAGAGGAGGGGCTATGCCCATGTCACACAGTCACTTGGTGTTCACTTGGCACTAGACTCTACCCAGATGTCCTGACTCATGGTAGTTATAGGTAGAAAAGGCAAATTTTTAAAGAAATATTTATTAATATATTCCTATAAAACATTTTAAAGGTAACTGCATAACATGGTTAATTATTCCATTCTATAGTAAATGCTAGCCATGCTTATTAATGAGACAGTACTTCTGATTAGTGTATGACATTCTGAAGTTAATTAAAATTTACACTGACAGTCTTTGGTATAGTGGGGGATTTGGGGATTGGAATATAGAGTAGAATGTTGAAGCCTGTGAGCCCATCTTACAGTTATTGGAAGCAAGAAAAGAGACACGGTCATATCAAACTAGTATATGTAAGGTTGATGTCCATTCCCAGCAGACTTAAGGAAGCTTCTCACACTCCCATTTTTCCCACCCCACCTAGCTCACTGATACATCTTGTTACTCTAAAACATAGAGATGTATTGGGGCAAGGTGCTAGCTCCTGCTGCCAGGAGATGGCTCTAGGTAATGATTTCAGAAGATCCTCACGCAGAGAGGAAAAACTAGTTGATTTTGTTTGTTTGCTTGTTTTTAAATAACCCCAATACAAATTTTTGTAGTATTCAGCACAATTGGAGTTCAGGTCTTTAATTTTGGAACATAAAGTGCCTGCTGTTTTAAGCATTGACTTATATAAAAAGAATTGCATGTCTCACTCCAGTAAGTTTATGGGTTTTCTCATTTTCAGCTACATGGCTTTTAATCATGTAAAGTGAAACATTAGTTTTGTTGCATTTTATTACAGGTTCTTTGTTGCAATAAAGATGCTGCTAAAATGAATTGATTTAAATGTTCCCTCACTACCATCAACATCCCCTCTTTGAACAACTGTGGAGTGACTAACACAGAAGAACAAGGTCATGTTCTTGCAATGGGGAAGGGAGGCTGCAGGGTGAAGGATCACAGGGGTGTTTTTATTTATTTTTTTTAGTGTGAACATTAACAAAAATGCATTTAAACCCAAAGGGAGGTATACAGAGAACTGCTTTGTACATGCAAGTGGGTCCCTACAGCCACTACTTTCGTACTGCAAGGGCAGGTGGAGCTTGCAGCCAGTGATTAACCTGTCACCCCCACTAAGCAGCAGGTGATTTAAAAGGGGTGGTGACGACACCACTGTTGCATTAGAATTATTTGTGTTAATATAGGTTTCTTTAACAACTTTCTGGGTTTCTTTGTTTTGTTTTTGAAGCTGTACTAGAGAAAGGGAGGAAAAGAACAAATGAACCCTTCTAAAGTTAGTGAATTGAGTTTGTCTGGTAACTCCACTAGAACAAAGGCTTAATCTGGATCCTGTAACCATATGACAGTATAATTATATGCAAAGTACTGCATGAATGAGGGGAGGTGCATTTTTCTGGGGAGAACAGTCTTGGCTTTGGTCAGATTATCAAAGGGATAATGATCCAAAAAAGGTTAAGAGGATCTTAAACTTTTTATTTGTATAAAAAGGTATTATGAATAAAGATGACCTTTAAAGAAGCTAATGCTATAGACCAGTGCTTCCTAAACTCACCTCATGACAGAAAAATACATTTGTATGACACTCTAGGATAAACTGAGACAAAATGGGGTAACCAGATATGGCTGCTTGCAGCCAGAAGTGACTGTCCAGGCCAACCCAGCTCTGAAGTGATTAGTATCTCAGCATACCTATAATCCGTTCTTTGAAGTCTAGTTGGGAAACTATATTATAGACTGTAGAACAACCTGGAGCTCTGGTGGCATAGTGCCTAAGGCATTTGCTAACCAGAAGGCTGGCGGTTCAAACCCACCAGCCACTCCTCGGAAGGAAGGTTGGGCAATCTACTTCTGTAGTGATACTGCCTCAGAAACCCAAGGAGGGGTTGCTATGAGTCGGATATGACTCGATGGCAAACAACAACAACATAGAACAACCTTAAAGGAGTTCTGTTGGTATAGTGGTTCAAACCAATGAGGCAGGCAGTCTGCTTCTGTAAAGATTTACAGCCTTGGAAACCCAATC